GGCCGAACCACATTTAAAAGATTGAATCAAATTGATTAGTGTTAGTTTAACTCAAGAGCTTATATACCGGTTATTTTACTCTTGAACCTTTGATGTGGGATGCACTCTAACAAAGACAACACTATTTTTACTGTCTCAAGTCTGAATACAAATTTTAAACGTAGCATTTACATCAATGTAAAACCAAAAAATACAATCAAATAAAACCTGCTTCAGAATAACATTTTCAGCAAGCTCCGAATTAAGTTCCAGAATCTCCCAATCGTCCTCCGTAAGTGGCTCTATGGTCACCAGTGTAGCCTTGGGCAAGTTGCTCACCACCCGCACCCTGACCACCATGCCATCACTCAATCCGATACACCCCGCATATTGGCGAGCAATCTGAAGCAAAACTTCTGAAATTTTTATCCTCGATTAAAATAAAATCAGGCCGAGTAGACAATCAAATTGTAACAGTACCTCGATGGATGAAGGGGAAGAGGAAACGGAGCCGCACCAGGACACGTGCCAGAGGCGTCCCTCGGAGGAGCGGAGTTCGATTGCGAGAATTGGAGGAAGGTAACGGGACTGAAGGGTTTGAATCAGTGCAAGAGGAAGTGAAAGGAAGCAGCTCTCAATTCCCCCTACCACTCGCACCTCAAACTCCATAGCTCACCAGTAACTACCCCCTTCCTGGGATTAATTTATAAGTGAATGAGTGAAGTTGCCCTCCGTTAGTCAGTTCCTTGGTTTCCAGTTCACTGAAAGGTCTTTTTTTTAATATACTGTTATTTAACTCGTGCTACACACGGGGTTGAATACATGTTATTTTTAACTCTACTAATTTTTTGTTTTAAGTAAATAATTATAAAATAAAGGTAAATATAATATAGAATGTTAGATACGACATAAACAGAATTGTGAAATAATTTTTGCATGTGATAAATGCAAAGTAATGATGCAATGGTTTGTGCAAATTCGACTATGAGCGAGTGTGCACAGAGTATTAATATGATTTAAACATACGGACTAAAGATCTAATTTGATTAGTTGTGTTCTAAATCTATTAGAGTGTAATCTAAATTTTTCTTATCTAGGATTGATCTGGTTTGAACTATTATCATTCTAGTAAAGGTTAAAGTTGTTTATGATATGATTCTAATAAGAATAAAGAGAACATGTTCTAAGATGCAAAGTGTTATTTAATGGCATGTATTTAGTGTTGGATAGTCATTGTGAAGTAATCCGGAAGTAAACACAACCCTTTCAATATCAATAAAAGAAGATTGGATAAATGGGCACATTCTTGTTATAGATAAATGTGAGGTACCATCATCCATACCTACGTAAATGAGCATACATTTGCTTCCTAAGTTTTGGTTAAACAACAATCAAAAGTAGTGTAAAACGGATTTTTAAAGCCAATTCATCCTCCAGGTACATGGGTAGTTGTTCACCTTGAAAAATACCATTCTTGTAAGGCTAACATTTGTAATTTTGCTGGCAGTGAAGCACTTTTTAACCTGCCCAAACTACTTCCACATGCTAAGTCTGCCAATTAAAATATCCTTTGGCAGAGTGTGCAAGGGTACATTAAGCTGTAAAAAATGGCAAGATCAATATTCTCTACCACTGACGTTATTGAGTTTGGAATCAAAATGCCTATGACTACGTTCTTCCCGTTGAGATAAAATTAGTTCCCTTTTGCCTCATATGTTAATAGAGCACAAAAGGAATGGAACGATTTTACAATTGACACGAATTTATAAGTTCCCTTCTCACTTTCATAAATCAATATCACGTAGACATTTTACATATCACGTTTTTAGAAACTTGAGTCTCAAATCATACCAAGACTGTATTAATCTCAATATTAGTTTTAATTTCGTGCTTTATACGATCTTGTATACTTTTATATAAAATATATTAATAAATTTGAATTCTACTCGTATACTATGGGTATAACATGTATACCCTCCATGTATTCTGTAGGTCTAATCTGATCATTTATTTAAAATCCGATCTGATTTGATCTAACTAAAATTATATTTAAAGCAATATCTTATCTGATATGATCTCGTTTGATCTAAATTGAACGGAATGCAGCCTAAAGAGTTCATCTCACAAATCACTTATAGTAGATATTAATAACATTGATAACATTTGGGGAATATCATAAGAAGGTAGATGAGTCTTACATAAATACCGATTCAAAACAACCAACAAAGGGTATGATAGTGGATTTTGTATAATTAAATTACCTAAAGTGCAGAGTGTAGAATTCCAGGAAGAAGATTATTGCTGAGATACGAACATAGACCTGTACCCTTTAATTCAACTATAGCAGCTTCTATACTCATTAAACAAATATATGGGTTCAAAGATTAATTGCTCTAGGTTCTTCTATGTATCCTATTCCAAGCAAGACAATAATTGAAGCATTGTCATGTGCTAAGCAAGAACTTAGCAAGGCTATGCATAAATTTACAGATGCGCTTGTGCAATGTAATGCTCGGTAACTTGGTATGAAGATAGTTTGCACTGCATCTTCATTTGAGACTCTTCCCAAATATATGGAGATGTAAAGATCAGGTCTCTCCTTGATAGCTAAGACTCAAATGTTTAAAAAATTCTAGCAAATTTATAGCTCAGTAATATCTCTATATAAAGAAAGGGAAGCATATGACAATACGTCAAGTGAACAGGCAAAAAACTTCAAAACCTGGATATTTGCAGGGGAGATATATTGTAACATCTCTATCGATCACTAAATCCAAGTGAATCCATAGCTTTGTTTAGTTCCTCTTGCCGCCGAAACATAGATAGGGGAAATACAAAACATAAAATTAGGCATGTAATCTCGCACTTAATCAAGCCACAGTTACTAATCAAAGAATTTACCAAAAAATTTGGAAAATCGAGAGCCCAGAATATGTAATAGGTATGGAATTCGATAGCCCAGAATCTGAATACACGAATATATGAATTATATGTAGAATTGCACATAAAATTTGGAAACAAACCTGAATCTCGAATTGACGCTAAAGAATATGTAGGGATCCTGACCTCAATATTTACAACTTTGTTTCTTCATAATTTTTGAGATTATCAACCGTAAAATTATATAAAACTATGAAATTTTTTTGACATTACAATTGCACAAAAATGGGAGAATAAAAATAAGGAGTAAAATATCAAGAAAGAACACTTATAACACATGGAAATATCAGCGAAAGGCTGGAGATCTGAATTCTGATCTCTATTGTGCCTGCATTTTTCTTTTTGAAGTGATGAAAACATTTTGATGTCTATGGTGCTGATCTAAGGAGGCTAAGACAACATGAAATAAAAAAAGGATATGAAGCTAACCTGCACAGAAGAAGGAAACAAACCTTGCCTGATCGAAAAGCATAGAGTTACCCTAAAACTAGAGAACTTGTGAATTGGAATCAAATTTAGGAATTGAAAGATAATATATAGGAAACAAACTATAAAGAATACGAATTGAATTTCAATTTTTTATAAATTTGAGAAACAAACCAATTTATAGGATTCTTGCATAGAAGAAAAATCTGGTCAGAATCATGAATGTAATTTCCGAGACTTCCCACTGGTTACTCAATCGCTGAAGAAGTCATGTGGTGATGAAATCAAGAGATCGACAAAATCAACACGATCTCTCAATTTTGGCATGTTTGATACAACCATACTTCCCTTTGGAAAAGAAGAGACTGAGTCATTAGTGAATAGATTTTCCACATACAAAGCATCTTCAATGAAACAATAGATATTCCCGTTGCGAATTATTCCTGTTGTTGTCCAGAGACTACCCTTCCTCTCAACTGTCTCACCCATTCCCAATTTATCAGCCCACTTGGCTTTTGATATGTCTTTCCTTAAAATCTATACCCGAATAAAGAAAAATGTAAATAGTCTTACCCTGTAAAAACAGAGATAAATACAGAACCAACGCTCGAAATTTTATTGGCTGCGCTTAAAATGAGAAGAAAGCAGAAGGAAACATGTGACAATGCACAAGTTGCAACCTTTATTTAGCCTCGCAAATATTAAATATAAAGCATTTGATTTTGTACCCCCCATAGTGGTGTGCAGAATCAAGCATTGAAGTAAATCATTGGGTGTACAGTCAAATATTGGGATAAAACATGGAGTGTGAACTGTGAAGTCAAAATTTCCCAAAAAAAGGTGTGTAATCTACCACTTGCCACAATGAACACTGAAAGGATAAAAGAGAGAATAAAGCACATTATACCTAAACTACAATTTGGGTATATCACCCGATGAATACGAACATATATTCTAATCATCATCAAAGTCCTCCTCATAGCTCTCATTGTCTGTAGTTCCATCTGAAAAGCTAGCTCAATCGGTTTCCATAGCTTCTTCTATATATATATTTTTAAAATTTGATATTATATTTTTTTCCTTCTTCAATATATGTGTGTGTCTATATATATATACACACACACACACACACACACACATATATATATATACACACACATATACATACATACATACATACATATATAGATACATGCATACATACATACATACATACATACATACATACATACATACACACACATATATATATATATATATATATATATATATATATATGTTCTGGTGAGAATGCGATCTTAGGAGAGAAATGAGAATGAATCTGGTGCTTTAGATTGTGAGATCTAAGGGTCAGGATTGCATCAAAATTAGATGTACCAAAAATGGTTTGAAAATGCATCATGTCGAAATGTACCAAAATCCTTTGAAAATGCACTATCTCAAAATCTTAGCGCAGGATGCAATTTGAGCCGCACGATACATCAGATCCAACGGCTATATTTCATTCTCATTTCTCTCCACAAGGTGCACTCTCACCGGAACTATATATATATATATATATATATATATATATATATATATATATATATATAATATGTTTGAACCACCGGTTCGACCAGTCGAGTCACTGGTTTGACCAGTAAATCAGTGAACTACGGAGTAGTATTTTGATCGGTTCGATCACCGGTCAGGTTCCGAAAATTATGACACAAATACCTTCCACCAGGCCGGCCTAAGTTGATACGCAGGAAATAATTAACGAACGAGGAAAAATCAAGACTCATAGAGTGCTAATTTGCCACCGTCTCTTGAGTGGTGAGATTCTAGAATCATCTGCGAAATGAGCTTCTCAGACGCCTCTTCTTTCTCCCTGGTTCGCCTCAATATAGGTGAGTTCCTGAATCGTTTCATCTCCCACTAGACCGGTCAAGTACGATTTTGTGTTTGTCTTTTTAGGTGTGTGGCTCCAAAATCTCTTGATACACATGTTTTTATAATGAAATGCAAATGACTGATCGGAAAAGTGGGTTTCATACATCTGTACATCTGAATGAATAACTAGCATGAGATTATTGTTGTGTATCATTGTTATTTCTTGAAGGAGGAAATAAATTCTGCACCACAGTGGATACCCTGACACGACGTGAACCTGATTCAATGCTTGCTGCAATGTTCAGCGGCCGGCACACTCTCTGCCAGGACCCCAAAAAGGTAGTTACTAGGAAGAAGGAGCCACAATTCATTCATGAATTTTGTTGAACACTTGTGCCTGTGTTTCTTGGTTGACTACTTTGAGTAATACAAATCTTCTTCCACACTACTGGATCATCTTTCTTAGACCCTTGATGCATTACTGCCCAAAACTTCATAGAAAGTGTGAAGCAAGGGAAGCTTAACGGGCCATTTTATTTAGTCTATTATTTGGGAGAAGCTAAGACATCGTCAATACTTACTTTTTTTTTAGCTCCAATAATAATGGACGTTTAGAAGTTCAAGACTTGGGCATCAGATTTCCTGGCTGTGGATGTTCATGCCTCGTTAGGACAGTAACCAGACAAGAGACATGCCACAGGGGGTCAGATTATGACAAGTTCAACACTTATTTTCATGGGATGTAGTGAATGAATTCATATTGCCAAACCTCACTTTGATGGGGCCGACTTGGTTTGAATAGAAAAAGATATACTCCTTTAGTCCCTATTTAATGTTCTGACTTTCCTTTTTGGATTGTCTTTATATAATTTTCCATTCCTTAAGGACAGAATTGTTTGATTCATATTATTTCTCTCCTCTCAACCACACAATTTTACCATTCCAAAACACCCTTGAAAAAGAAAATGGGAACATTAAATAGGGACGGAGAGAGTATTTTTTAGGCAGTAGTGCAGTACTAAAGAAGATGTGGATGGGATAAGACCGTAGTTTTGGGCCAACTACATAACTTTTTTGGGACTAGAGAGGAAAATATTTATTGATCTTAAGGGAGAGTACATCAATTTTGAAATACACACAGGTTCTTACTACGGTGTGGCTGTGCTTGGATAGGAGATAGAGTAGTGACTGACAGACCTCTTTAATATCAATTTTAAAGTTGGCAAAACTTGAGTGGAGTACTAAAGAAGATGTGGATGGGATAAGAGCGTAGTTTTGGGCCAACTCCATAACTTTTTTGGGACGAGAGGCAAATACTATTGATCTAAAGGGAGAGTACATCAATTTTGAAATACACACAGGTTCTTACTTAGGTGTTGCTGTGCTTGGAGAGGAGATAGAGCAGTGATTGACAAACCTCTTTGACCCCACGTTATACGAACAAAGCGACGCACATATTTGCTGCAACTATCACAATATCTACCACTACAAGAAAAATAGTAGTGACAGAATCAATTTTCTGTGTCATGCTAGGAAGGTCAACACTCAAGGCAATCCATGTCCATGTTGCGCATCAGCTGCTCTAAGAGTAAATACGCCTTGTGCAACTTCACTAGGAAGCAAAATAAGGAGGGGAAGGGGTAACATTGAGGAGAAAATGATAAAAGAGGACATTTAAAAAAAGGATTCTATCATCTAGAAAGGAGAGATCAAAGATGATTTCACACACGGTATACAATGAAGGTGGTTAACTGGTTAAAGTGGAGGACTACCACATGATTTATGTGTAACAAAGGGATCTCCTCAAAATTGGAGGACAAGCTCTACGGGGCTTCACTTTGACTTGCTGTTAGGTGATAAATAAGGTGCATGGCTGGAAGCTGGAAGTTGCAAAAATGAAGATGTCACGTAAGTTGCAATGTCACCGGTAAAAAGGATGGGTAGCATTTTTTTTTTTTTTTAGGTGGTGAGGAGGGTAAGCATGTCAGTGAGGATGTGGAGTGAGCAGCTAGGGCTGAATGTGGAAGCTTTAAACCTCTCCATGAACATGATTTCTGATATTGATGTGGAGACATTCAATAAGTAACAGTGTTAACATAAATTCCATTACATGGACTAAATTGATTCACATATCTCAACTATGTGAACTATTTTGAATTAACAAAATCTATGGGAATCATAGCGACTCATGAGTGTACGTATAAGGAACAAAGTGAGTATTTTCTTGGTATGGAAGAAACCTTTGTTGGGAACATCAAGGGGTCTCTTGGCCTTGTAGATTAGAGTGCGCTGTGTGGTTGCTAATTGCTAGCTAGTACTTTGCTTACTTACCTACTCGTGCTCATACTTTTTCTCAACTGTTTGTTTGACATTTTTTTGCCATTTTATTGCTTGTCTTTTCACCTGAACAATTTTTCCCTAGTTGTCTTTATTGGCTCCAGAGGTGTTTCTAATCAAAGCTAAGACTATTCGCTTTTCGCTTCTACTTATAACTTTTGCTCTTTCAAGAATCTACCACTATTCCAAACACCCTCAGAATATTTTTTTAAAAATCTTGGATCATTATCCACAGGTTTTGCGGATGTGCCTGTGGGTTATTTTTGTATAATGATTTTTTGATACGAAAGACAACAATTTAAGTTGGTATACTCATAATTTTTTGGCATAAAAGGAAAACTAGTGCATATTACAGATTCTTTTCCAAATATATTTGTAGTCTTGAGCTAATGTTTGATAGCAATGTCATTTCTTTTTGTATCCAAATGTAATTTATCCGTTTTTATCTTTGCTCATAAGTACTTAATTAGTATGGTCATTGTAGGCTTCTTTGCAATGGTACATAAGTACATACTCCTTAGAAATCTGGGTTTGGTTAATTTGAAGAAATAGTATTTTATTGTATTGCTGTAGGGATATATTTTTGTTGACAGAGATGGAAAGCACTTTCGGCATATTCTTAATTGGTTGAGGGATGGAATTTTGCCCAATCTGAAAGACTTTGTGTATTCAGAACTCCTGCGGGAGGCAGAGTACTACCAACTTCTTGTAAGTCGTCTTTCCTCTCCATGTATCGCGAATATTAATATGGTGCTTCACTGCTTCAACTGTCATAGATCACTTACAAAGATGAAAAAAGTGGAACTTGTCTGGCTTGAAAAAACTAGAGAAGTTCATTTTGAATCAGGTCCATGAAGTGATATGGACTACTTACATACATGATACAACTCTCCAAATGAAGAAGTGATTGTGCAACACGAACAAGTTGGACATGTTAATTCTCTGAATGTATTTTGACGATTTGATGCCTATGGAATTGCTAAACTGCTTTCTTTGAAGTACATCAGATGTATAATAAGCTTTAATTTTATCCAAAGAGAGGAGAACAGATGAGGCACTTACTGTTTATATGCTTTTGGGTGTGGCACACATAAAAAATACACTGGAGTGACCAAATTGTTTTTTACTCGAGAGCAGCATGGGAACCTATCTAATCTGTTGAGTTTTGTTTCTCCATGCTTGTTCAGGGACTGGCCGAGGGGATTAAAGCTGCATTAAGTAAGAGGAAGGAGGGAGAGGAGTTGGTGTCAGAATTGACACGCACGGATATCATAAAATGCATACAGTCTGAGAGAGTCAGATTCCGTGGGGTTAATCTTTCTGGCCTTGATCTTTCTAAACTGGTAAAGTATTCTCGAGCTAAACCATTCTCAGTTACTTGGCATATTGTAGAACTATTATGTTTATACATCCATGCGAATCTTTCATTATCTGAATCTCAATTTCCTTAATTGTGTTTGGTTTCTAAACCTCCATAGGAAATTGGTGTGGTTTTTGTCAACAATTTGTTGTGGAAGCTAGGAAAAGTATTTATTGTCTATTGTTTTATTTTGATATGATGTTTGATGTCTGTCTTGAAATTGATGGGCAGGACATGTCTTTTGTGGACTTCAGCTATGCATGCCTTAAAAATGTATTCTTTTCGCGTGCAAACCTTCAATGTGCAAAATTCAAGGTAATTTTTGTCATTATTGAATCTTTTCAAGGTAAATTTTTCTGGCTGATAGAGCTTTTAAACTTCTAGTGGGCACGAGAGTTTTTCTTTCCCTTTATTTTCTTTAGTGTTTTTTGGATCCTATATCGTAATGTAGAGCATTTCTTACCTTCTACTACATATTATTCTATAAAAAGAGCATGCGCTTCATAGTTTTTCAAATAGGAGGTTGCTCACCGACAAGCTTATGTTGGGCGAATTAAGTGTGGAGGCTCGACCAAGAAGGGCAGCCGGCCCTAGTCTTTGTTCGACCCATATGGCATAAATTAGGCTTTTAATTTAGCCGGCCCTAATTCTCTCTGTGGGCTTGGGCCGAACTTGGGGATTAAGTTTTTAACCCTAGTTTAGTCTTCATAAATAGCGATCTCTGTACTTGTAATTCTGTGAGCACCTGAATAATTAAACCCTAGTTGCAAAGTGGATTAGGTCAGCCGACCGAACCACTATAAATCTTGTGTTCTGTTTTCTCCATTTTGATTTCTGTTTTGTGTGTGTTCTTGTTTGGTTGTGGCTTGCTATTCATAGATACCCCAACAACTGGTAAAAAGAAAGTGAATAGTGATGATGTGTTAATCTCTAGCGTAGAGAGTAGTATAGATTCCTGGGTGATGGATTCTGGTACATCTGTTCATGCCACACACAACATGAAGATGATGAAGAATCTGAAGATTGGGGACTTTGGTAAAGTACGACTTGGTAACGATGAAATTCTGGATGTTACGAGCATAGGGGATATTGACTTGAAAACTTCAGTTGGAGCCACTTGGACTCTGAAAAACGTCAGAGTCATTCCAAGCTTGAAGAGGATGCTTATCTCAGTTGGGCATTTGGATGATTCGGGTCTTGATGTTAAATTTGGTGGTGGACAGTGGAAGGTGGTCAAAGGAAATCTTGTTGTTGCTCGTGGCAAGAAAAAGGGGTTCGTTATATATGGTCGAGATACCTCCAGAAGGAGCAAATCCAGTTCTCGTAAAAGAAAAGGTACGGTTCAAAGAATCTTGTGTGCTAAAGAGGGTTACCTTTGCAAAGGAGAAACCCAGAGAAAAAAAAGAGTACAGATTCAGAATGAACTAGCTCGGAAGGTTCAACCAGTCAGAGAATTTTGTGACACTGGTAGCACAGCCGTCCCAATTCGACAGTGGGTTAGGAAAACTAGTATTCCGGCATTGAAAGTTTCTCCTATTGCCAATTTGCTTGGTTTGGAGAATGTAGGTTCTCAGTTTGTCTTAGAAGCCATGAGAGTGATAGATGTGTCACACTCGCAGCTGGCAGAGAATTTTGCAGTCACGGGTTGTGACTGCAATGGGAGCTTGAATGGGCCTTCAGATAATTGAAGAGAAGGTCGCTGCAACTAGTGGTAAATGAAGATTCCAAGAGTTATGTTATATCCGGGCTTGGCATACCCTCCCCCATGTCCCACACCCGAGACTGAGCCCACACTCCCCATACCTTCCCTAAACATCCAAAATATTTCCTTTTCAAAATAAAGTTTTTCCTACTCTTATTTTAGCCCTGGCCGAAAATAAGAGTGTGTAAACCAAAGCCTTTTTGTTTGTTGTTATTTTCCTTCTTTTAAGCCTTTTAATAAAACCCTCTCTTCCTTCCTTTCATTCCCTGCCCAAATATCCCTCACAATCCCAACACAACATCAACAAAGAGCCAAAAACCATGACCCACCACCAGCCATATATCCTGCCCATGTTCCCTAGCAAATAACCCAAACTTATAAGTCCAAAACCACACATTATATCCCCCATCCCTGCCCCCTTTTATTAGCCAGAAACAACCCCCATTTTTACCTAAATATTAGCCACAAAAAAACCAGGAAACAACCACAAGGAACCAAAACACAAAACCCCCAAAACCCCAGCCCCATCCCTGATTTTAGTCCACCAAGGAGACAGGAATGAAGAAAGATTACCCCATGCTTTGGAGAAGGATGTTGCTAGGAAGTTTCCTAATGTCTACATTCAATGTATTGTGCATCATCTCCCCCTTCCCCTGCCTATATAACTCAGGCCTTATGGCCATTGTAACACAACCTTTGAATATTAAAATCTTTTACTCTTTGAGTATTATTAAAATAGTGTGATGCTATTTTAGCCAAATTCCTAATTCTATATCTTAAGAGTGGTTATCTTAAGTGTGAGTTTTAGGTTCTAGATATTTGATTAAGTGTGTCATATCTTAATTAAATTCTAGATTCAAACCCCAAGTTAGGATAAGAGTGTGTAATATCTCTTAAACACCAACTTGGTTTATCCATCCCTGATTTTCTTCCATTTCATATCCCCCCATTTCTCCTCTTAATCTCACTCTTTTCTTCCATTAAAATACCCAAAAGAACTCCCTCATCATCTCCACAAATCCCAGCCATTCCCACAAAAGCACCACTATCTTTCCACACAGATTTTGGATCCTGACTGCCGTTATAATCGACTATCAACAAGAATAATCGATTATCTTCCCCTCCTGAATTCCCTTGGAACAAGCTGCAAGCCCCAATAATCGATTATCATATACTGATAATCGACTATCTCCCTTCCCTGAAGTTTCTGGGTTTTAGCATCACAGCTCCACAATCGATTATCACCTGGCCACAATCGATTATCACCTGCTCCTGAACCTTAAACTCAAGCTGCATTGTCCATTAATTCCTTCTCAAAATAACAACTCGTTTAGACCCCCGGTTCGGGCCTAACAAGTTACAGATGATGAAGACTAAGGGGCATTGTTCGAGCCTCCAAGTGGGAGATTGTTGGGCGAATTGAGTGTAGAGGCTCGACAAAGAAGGGCAGCCGGCCCAAGTCTTGGTTCAACCCATATGGAAGTAAATTAGGTTTTTAATTTAGCCGGCCCTAGTTCTCTTTGTGGGCTTGGGCCTAACTTGGTGATTAAGTTTTTAACTCTAGTTTAGTCTTCATAAATAGCGATCTCTGTACTTGTAATTTTTTGAGAACCTGAATAATAAAACCCTAGTTGCAAAGTGGATTAGTTCAGCCGACCGAACCACTATAATTCTTGTGTTCCGTTTTCCGTTTTGATTTCTGTTTTGTGTATGTTCTTGTTTGGTTGTGGTTTGCTATTCATAGATACCCCAACAACTTATTCGTGTAGTCATTAATATGTTTGATTCCTTATAAATAATATTCTATCTGTCCCATAAAAAGGTTCCACCATTTCTTTTTTGTCCGCCCAAAAAAGGTTCTACTTTCCACTTTTGGAAACAATTTTGTGGTTCTTATAATTTCTCTCTTCTTTGCATCACTTTCAACCACACAATTTTACATTCCTTAATCTCAGAGCCAAGTGAAAGGTGGAACCTTTTTATGGGTTGGAGGGAGTAATAGTTATTATTAATATGAATTAAATGAAATAAAATATAATTAATAATAGTTACTACAACGGGAGGTCCTTAGTTTTGGTGTGCTTAATCACCTGGTTGTTAATTTAATAGCCTTTTCCAAAATCAAGATGGCAAACTGTTGCCTAGCTCCTAGTTCCAGAAATATATCTGAAGAATATCTGTTCAATTTTCTAAAAAAGAAGAGAATTTCGAAGGATTTGAAGGTGGGGGGGGGCTTAATTTTTTAATGACTAATAGTAGTATTAAATAACTTGGATGTCTAGGCCTTAATCCTTCCTGACTGCGTTAAAAGATGCTTAGAAGAATTTGAGATGAATTGGGTGGCAAAGTACCTGAATTTCTGATGCGGTAGTATTACTTAAGGGCATGATAGAGGTATGATTAGCTTTTCATATTTCTACCCTTATTTGGCTAAGGCGCTATATAAGCCTTAGACCATTATGCTTTTTAGTAGCGGTTAGATTTTAAGAAAATCGAAGTTCTTCTTCAAAACCTTAGAGTTCTCTATCAATCTTTGGTGGTTAATTCCTTCAAATGATTGTAGTACTACTCTAGGATTCTTTTCCAACATTCATGGTGGATTATCCCTTAGAGAACTAGATAAAGATTCCATTTATCTTCATCTTTGTTCGTGTTTGGCTTGGTCATGTGCATCACACCTAGCCTTCAAGATCCCATCTCTTCTGGTTCCTTGGCTTTTGTTTCACATGAATTTCAGATGTTTGGTATCATGGATTTAGGAAGGAGGTCTTATTGTTATAAAACAACTAATTTAACTCGTCTATGGTCGGAGCTTCAAATAAAGGTGCTCCCCTAGGTGCAAGCAAAGGGTAAGAGAAAAAGTTCTAATAAGGAACATCACCATGGAGTTTAGGTGGACCATCTACCTAAATTACTTTTGATGTCTTGGGAGTTTAGAAGTTTTTTTTTTTGGCTTCCCATGGGCCTACTGATGCATGGTCTTTTGAAGAGGGTTCTAAACTCAATGGACGATAAAAAGTATATGGAGTTTTTAAATGCCATTTTTTTTACATGGACCAAAGCATAATTGGTATTTACTCTTTGGGTATATGGAAAAATGTGAAGGATAACCAACAAGGAAATATTAGGAACCTGGCTTAGCATGCAACCAAATGATCTAAACATTATGTTTTAAAAAGCAATATTTGGATGTCTTTATATTGACTCCTGATTTTGATGATAGTTACATCTAATCATTTTTCAAGTTTTTATGCAGTTAAAAACTTACAGCTATACTCAAAAGATTAGAAAGAACAAAAGCCAACATAAATATACCCTAACTATCATGACATAAACTAATAATCTAATAAAAAATATTATGAAGTTGTATATCATGATAGTCAGTAGTGTGGCTTTATTTGAACTATTAAACATCAATAAGTGAGCACTTTTTTTAAATATCTCACCTTAAAGTAGCATCTTGCAACAATGCAAAGTAAAGTTCACTTACATGACACCTTATGTGGTGGGACCCTTCACCACCATCACTTAGGTCATTCATTTCCTCGTTTTTGCTTCAAAAGTACATTTGTAATGGCTTGAACGATATTTCACAATAATATTGCTAAATTGCATTAATTTATTTATTTGCTTAGGCTTTTTCCACGAAACATTTTTAGTTGCATCAATTATACAATTTTTGCCTAGGAGTTATACGAACTATTATATAGTTGTTGCTCTCTAAGTCATTGAGTTTTATGAACTTGGTTGTAGGATGTAGATGCTGAGGGTTCCATTTTCCATAATGCCACTCTACGCGAGTAAGTGTTTGCAATAATTGTCAGATTTAATAAGTTCTTACTTGAATATGTTCAAGCCTTCTAGCATCTTATATTTTCTAGTTTTTGAATGTTTATACTATCGTTTTTTAATGTAATCATTGTCAGATTTATTAAGTTCTCTACGAATATGTTCAAGCCTTCTAGGATCTTATATTTTCAAGTTTTTTAATGTTCATACTATACTTCGGGACTTTTTCTCGTGTATTGGTACTGAAATAATTGCTCCCGCAGTCCCACCTTGTGTTATTCGGAGTATATATATAAGTAAAATTGACGGTTTTCACCCCTCATAACCCCCCTCACGACCATCATTGCCATTGCAAGTGCACCTCATAATTTTTGTTGACTTTCTAGGTCATAATTTTGACCAAAATTTCAACCAAATTTATATGGTGCAATTGCGGGGGTGGGGGTTTATGGGGGGGGGGGGTAGGAACCGTCAATTTTTCGAACGGAGCACCATAGATGCCCCAATTGAACTGGTGTAAGGGATGGTGTAACTCTACAATTTTCCATATATTTATACTCCGTATATTGCTTGGTAATGATCTTTATAGTTTTAAGTGGGGAGCATTTTTGTCTTCCTACTTGAGCCAATCCACACACACACACACACACAACTCTATCCTATACAACAGTTCTTACAACGTTTGTTTGTTTTTTTTCAATTGGATTGTTTTTAGGCAAAACCCACTGTAGGGTTGAATTCTTAACATACATAGGTAAAATCTGTCTATTCTTTTCCTCTAAAGATGCGAATTTACCGGGGCAAACCTTAGAGGAGCGTTGTTAGCTGGTGCAAATCTTCAAAGCGCAAACTTACAAGGTGATATATGTTGTGTTAAAACCTGTGATTTGCATGCTTGTCTGTTGATGTTACCTATGCCTGTTAACTTGTATTATTCCATACATTTTTATGTTTTCCAGTCTAGGTGCACCTTTATAAATGCATGTGTGTTCTTAGTGTCTTAGGTGATTAACAATACATACTTCGTGCAGTGGCAGATTACATTTCTGTATTCTTCTTGCTTCTTTGGATACTAAATATTGCTTTTGCTTTCTGCTGGTGGTATTGCTCATTGCCAATGGAGCTAAAAGAGTCATTTTTATAACGTTTTAGCTTCAGGCAAATAATGGACTAATTTAAAGCTGCACATTAAACTTTCCTTCTTACTTTCCATGAAGTTTTATTAAGTGAATGCAGCAATGGATCTAACAGAAATGACCTTTTTTCATCAGGGGTAAGACTATGTGCATCTTGACCTCCAAACCCCAATGAAGTCGGGATTATACTTGGTTTGTTGTTGTTGTCAAGGGTCTCAGGCTTAAGATTGTGTACATCTTGACCCTTTAAACCCCAAAGTAGTTGGGTGGTTAGTGGTTACATCTTGACCCTTTAAACTCAAATGGGGTTGGGATTGTTTTGGGGCTGTCTTTTAAATTCTGATTACCTTTTTAATCCTAGTTTGTTTTTTACATAGAGGCCTGCCCTTGGGAGGAGGCAGACTTTTTGTTTGTGCCCTTGGTGCTATGCTATGATAGCATAGCTATGGTGAAAGTTTAATCTGGTGGAGTGCTCATGCTTCTAGTTCTATCCGTGATATCTCAGCAATACTGTATGATTTTCAGTATTAGATTTTTAGATCCCTCTTGAATCTTTACTCCTATCAAAATCCTTCAGTCTAAGAATTTGTAGGAGTGTTTAATCCTTCTCAAAGTTAGTTGTTTCAATCCATCTTTAGATGCTCTCTTCCACATGCGAGATTTACATATTACAATTGCGTAGTTGGTGATAGCTGTTTGCACGTTGTGTTAATTTACCCTAAAGGCCTAAGTAGATTTGGGTCAAAGGTTTTTTTCTAGATTGTTGTTTAGCTTAGAGGGCTCTTAGGCTTTTTACTATGAGATATGGATTACACAATGCACATGATATAGTTTTGCCAATTGCCCTAAAAATTGAAACAATGTGGAATTCCTTTTTTTCTATTTATTTCATGCTTGATGAATCACTTTCATGGGATTTCATGCCTGAGAACATCATACAAATAATATATTATGATGCACAGCAAAATAGCTCATATCTGTGTACCAATACTCAGTTTCCACTCTGTCACAGATGCTTGCCTAATAGACTGCAGCTTTTGTGGTGCAGATCTGCGGTCTGCGCACCTACAGGTATATACATAGTTGAGTCTCTATTAGAGCTATACACCTTTTGTTTTCCTGCACACCCTCAAACAAACTCCCTTGCACTACAAACTCCATACAACTCCACTCATTACTCTTTCTACCTAAAAAAAGAATGAAAACGGAAAGCAAATGGCAAAAAGAGATGAATGGTGACCGAGCTCTCTGTCCAATATAAGCCGTTGGGATCCACATTTTTTCCTTCTTTAGATACAAAGCTACTGCAAGACCCTTCCCTTAGCTCCTTCCTTTTTTTAGCTTCCCCTTGGCTCCCCTTCCATTATTAACTTTTCACTATGGCTCTCAGTTGGTGATGCCCTTATATACTCTGTCGTAGGCTATGCAAGAGCTAGCTATGCTGCTTATTCATTTCTCTTTTCACTTTTTTTTACTCTATAGTACACCTCTGTCGGGTAATGTAATTTATGTTTGGATTTGGCACAATCTTTTAAAAACTAAAGTAGATGTGTTTTTATTACTCCCTCCGTCCTAAAACTATCTTCCCATTCACTATTCACCGGTCAAACTTTATCTTCTTTGTGAGCTCATTTTTGTTACTTGTTTGATAAAATAATATAGTCATGTCACCTCTAGATTTGTAGATCTTTTGATGTAGTTATTAAATATATAAATTTTATTTTTAAATTCCACACTAATTTTCCAATAAATTGTTCAGTCAAACATCGCAAACCGTATAGAGAATTTAGTTTTAGGACGGACTACGGAGGGAATACCATTTTAACCTTCAAAAGAAGAACACTAACCTGGCTGTGCAGAGTAAATAGTAAAAGGATATGAAATTGGATAAAGTAGGAAAGTAAAAGTTGTTGGAGACTTGGAGTTTAAATTAGAAGTAAACACTTGCAAGTTGCAAGGACACGGGGATGGGTACTAATACGCGAAGGGGAAGCTCGATTTTTCCAAATTTTATGAAGGCCTTGGGTGTTGGGACGTCCTCATGTACCCAAACAGGAACATTTCGGGGATGGGAAGCAACCCTTATTTGAAGAACCCGTGCAACGTAGAGTAAACATTGTTATGGGATGGACTAGTTAGAAAGTGTTTCTAAAATTCTAACAAAATGAGAGGGAGGAAGTATTGACTTTGAAGATAAAGGAGTTTCCTCAGTTATTTTTTGGTGAAAACAAAAATTATAATTCAGGCTAAGCTGTTGCTGGGTTGCTCACTTATCTAAAATTAAATACAGACTGCTGATCTTACCAATGCCAACTTTGAAGGAGCTAATTTGGAAGGGGCCAACCTGAAGGTATGAACTAAATTATATTTATTAACTTCTTATGAGTTAAGTTTGACCGCTAGCAACGTTATATGATGAGAGTGTATGCAATAATTTTTTTTAATGTATTGCATATTTTAGGTAGCTTTTACAATTTTGGTGTTTGATAATTGAAAAATGCTCTAAATATGTTCGTTGGAGCCATTCAATCCCATCAGCTAAAAGCAAGTAGTTATCTTTTAAAAATTCTGTTTATTGCTTATTGTAAGCAGCTTCTACTCTGTTAGAGTATAAAAACCGTTCTTGGGCCACATACACAAGCTTGAGCAGTTGAGCTTTTGGTTGGGTTGGTTCCTTGACATGGTAATGGAGCCTGTTGATTAAAAGGTCACGAGTTCGAATCTCATCGCTACCTAGTTAAAAAAATTAAGGTTTCACTTGCAAGACTCAAAAACAACCACACATGCACGTGAGAGGGGCGTGTTAGAGTATAAAAACCTTTCCTGGGCCACAACCACAAGCTTGAACTTTTGGTTGAATTGGTTCCTTGACATATTGCTTTGTCTTCCCTAACATTTTTGCACTTCACTGTTGAAATGAGGAGTAATTATTGCCTCTCACTTGAGCATTTTTGAATTCAACCGCTCAAATTTGATTGAGCAAAAAAGTTTACTCCCTCCGTCCATTATCTTTCTTCTCACTTTCCTTTTTGGGACGTCCATTATCTTTCTTCCCATTTCTTTAAATGGCAACTTTAAAAAATTAAAATGACTTTCTTACCCTTATCTAGTCATAGTATTTACGATCCTCCCTACTCACATCTCATTTCTCCTTTGTTTCGCTCCACCATCACCAATTTCTCCCGTTCTCTTTCATTCTTCATCAACCCACCCATCCACCTCCCTGTTCTTTCTCCTTTCTTCTTCGTCACCCCCCACCCCCACCCAAAACACAAGAAATTGTTCTTTTTCTTCTTTCTCTCAATTCTTCTCTCCTTTCTTTGTCAACAACCCCCACCCCACCAATTTATTCGTTCTTCTTTTCATCAATTTGTTCTTCGATTTTCATTTTGATTTTTGGTTCTTCAATTTGTTTTTCGTCAACCCTAACCACAGGTTCTTTCTTCTTCGTCACCCCCAACCCCTCGTTCTTCTTTCCTTTTTCTCCTTTGATTTAAATTTATGGCGTAACACTAAGCGGTGGATGTGGGGAAGTAGCAAGAGGGGCAGCGACAAGATCCATGGCAGCGAGATCTGATGAAGTAGGTGACGGTGGTCGAATTGAAGATGGAGGGCACAGGGGAGGGGGGTGGGGGTTGATGAAGAAGAAAGGAGATAAGATCTGGGGATGTGGTTGGGTGGGTTGATGAAGAAGAACGAAGGAGAACAATGAGAAGGACAAATTGGTGAGTTGAGCGAGATCTATGGCAGCGAAGAAATACAGAGTAAATGAATAATTGGGAGAAGGGTATAATTGGATAGTCAAACCATTTTATTAAAAAACTGTGCCGAGTCAAACTGAAAAGTTCCTAAGTCGACGGAGGGAGTATATAAATTTGCAAACACGGATCACTTTTACTCAAACCATTAATCACCTTGTATTTATTTTACAAAAGAAAAAAAAACTTAATTTCTTGCAAACGCTCCTATTATCAACTTCTTTAGGGTGCAAAGTTGACAAATGCCAATCTGACTGGTGCAAATCTTCAGAGAGCTTATCTCCGACATGTCAACCTTCGTGACGCTGTAAGTGTTAGTGTTACTTCAACATCTTGAAGCTTTCCCTTCATTGCAATCCCAGCTGATATCTTTCAGTTTACTCATTGCATGATTGTGCAGCATCTGGACGGAGCAAGGCTTGATGGAGCCAACTTACTGGGAGCAATCAGATGATCGTTCATTTGAGTTCACCGTCTTGGAGATTTTGCATTTGAGAGAGTACTACTCCCATTCCCCAAATAGTGATGAAGTCTTATTGGGCGCTTTGGCGCTGATGATACTTTGTTGAATAGTATTTATCACCTCTACTATGCACTTCAACATTATTATTAGGACACACTCACCTTGTTAACTGGAAATGAGAGAGAACTGTATTCCGAAGTTAAAAGGAATTCCGGGTCTCACCTTTAGCCAGTCATTCTCCAAATTTCCTTTTTCTTGGTTTCTTTCTTTGCCAGCTTCCCTATCATCTTGTGGGAGATTTACGGAGTAGTATACTCGTGCCTTATGCTCCAATCTTTCTCTAAAATGAAAACGCACATTCATTCTGTATCCTTGGCAACTACATAAAAATATGTATATTTTATGAATTTAAAGTACAATACACGCGTGTTTCGTCTTTGATTCATACTCTCCTCTGATTTTGCCCGGCCATTGTTTTTCACTCAATGATCTCTGTGGTTGAGTCTCATTGTCACTCTTGTAGTGCTTTTTAGGGAATCAAACACTTTAGTTTGCTTTTTGCTTCTGTGTTTTTTCCTATTTGGTTTTTCGGCATTTTTGCACTAATAGGCACAAAAATTTTCACTATTTATTTTTCCACTAAATTTGATCTCACTATTAACTGTTCAATGTTGAGTTGTTGACAGCGGTGAACTCTTTTTGCTCATTTCGTTGTGTTTGTATAAATTATTTGCTATTCAGTTTCTAACTCTTAGATTTTATTTATAAAATTCATGTCCCTACTTTCACTTCATTGGATCTTGTTTGAATATTTGTCATTAGGGGTGTAGTTGTTTAATGTCGTGCAGACTTGGTAAATTGGTACTATTATGAGTATTTTTGTTTAAGACGGAGTACTTGACATGGTAGCCATTGAAAGCTTTGAACTTAAAACTTCCTTATTTGGCTTGATGATGTTATTTGTCTTATGATGTTGTTTATGTTGCGTAAAGTAGATCTCTTACCCGTGCATTGCATGGTCAATTTTTTGATACGGTTAATGGAAAATAAATATTGAATTTATAGCATATATAATGACTAAGGAAAGAATTCATTTCAATATAAAGATTAAAAGTATTATATACTAATATTCATGAAACAATTGAAAAGGCTAAAAAAGTAAAATTAGATAGTTTGGAGCACTTTTTTGTAGACTACATTCGTTGTTCTATTTGAAGGTGTAAGATCATCATTACAAATCAAGATCTTCAAACCACGTCAATTGGTCACTCGAGAGACAACATAAAGCTAGCCATGACTAAAAATTGGTTTCTTGAGCAATAATTCTATATGCTTCAATGACTGGCCTTGGCTTCTGTTAACTGTTATTGCGTAAGATTTCATAATAGTAAACTACTTCCTTTGGAACTTAAAAAGAATCCAAGTATCTGAAGGAGTGAGCGAAAGTCAAGGAATGACTACTTCGTGACCTGCATTCTTACCTCCCATTGCTTTTCCTTGAATCAAATGAGTCCCCAATTTTATAACACGATCAATCTAGTACCATTACACAATCCCACTTCAATATTTCTCAATAATATGATCGGTGTTCCCACCTTTAATTTCAGGTTCATGATTAGGAACATCAGATGCCCTGATGTTGTTTTAAAATTGTGGGGAGTGCAAGTCTGATATGACATTAACATTTGAATCTGACTTGCAAATGCTCTCAGAGCCTTAGATAAGTATTCACCTCTCCAGCTGAATTTATTGATGTCAACCACCTCTATTGTCGGTGCAAGAATTGCCCATTCTTGCAAGTAACTTTGGTCTTTTGCAATCGTATCAAAATCAAGATATGTGGCTTGAACAATTGCATCCACATGATCTCTTGTGGTTTGCAAGATCATATTTGAAGGGATATCTACATTAGAACATCCATCATTTTCTTCTCCGGCAAGGTCATCCTCAATACTTGCTATCCAGTTAGCAAATGTCACCATACTCTCATAGCTACTATTCTGACCCATATGTTGTAGACACATGTTCTTAGTGAGACGTAGAACGGTACAAAACTGCCAGATATATGATGAATTAATTGCTGCATTAGTGATATCTTGTCTGGTCCCTTTGGGTATGACAAGCAAGATTTGATGGAAATCCCCTCCAAGAACTATTATTTTGCCTCCAAATGGTAACTGAGTGTTCTTTGGATCACATAATGACATAATATCTCGCAAAGTTCTATCTAATGCCTCGAAACAAAATTTTTAGTCATCGGAGCATCATCCCAAATTATCAATTTTGTTCGTAGTAGTAATTGTGCTTGTGGTGTGCCATTCTTAAAGTTGCAAGTGGAGTTTTCATGGGGACTTATGGGAATTCCAAACCGGGAGTGCAGTGTCTTTTCCCCGAGAAGTAGTAGTGATGCAATTCCATAACAGTTTAAAGATAATTTCTTCTTTTGAATGCAATGTAGCAGATAATATTTTCCAAACGAAAGTTTTGCCTGTCCCACCATAGCCAAAAACAAACAAAACTCCGCTCAATCCCTTTTCCAGAGATGTCATTATAACATCATATGCGGAGCGCTGCTCATCTTTTAAAGATCCCATCATGTGTATATGTTCACTTGCCAATGTTGTCCGGTCGTATTGAAGTTTATCAAGTATCAACCAATTGCGGGATACTGAAGTTGCATCCATGTTTGGAAAAGGCAATTCTTCATAGTCATGAAGACTCTTGGCACGTGCTCTAAGCAACATCTCTATCTCAATCAAATCATAATTTCGTCATCACTAAGCATGAAACCTAAATATAAATGGAGAGTTGTTAAAGGGGGTTACAATTAGAATATATATATATATATGTGTGTGTGTGTGTGTGTGTGTGTGTGTGTGTGTGTGACCAATACTATATATGCTTTGACAAAAAGAAAGGTTACTGGCGGTGAAGAATGTCATCAGTCATGCATTCCCAACATTTCTCCAAAACATATTTTGGTCTTGACATTGTCACATTAGTTAATAGGGTTACAAATAAAATTCGTAATTGTAATGCTAAAGACCATTAACTTGCTTCACTAAACTCATCGATGAACTCTTTATCATTGTTTAATAATCCAAGTACATAACACGTATCACGATAAGTATCGTGAACAACGTCATTTACAGTCTTTAAATCAGCATAACTTGTAGGGCCACAAATAGTACTTAGAAACTTTCTCAAGTAATAAGCCTCTCCGAATCTAGGTGGAGCATATATCAATCGACCTATTGTGACTCCACATTTTTGGGGAATGTACTCTCTTTTTTCTGACTTCCATACAAACTTTTGAGGAAACTCAACAAATGTCAATGATATTGCTTCTCGGTAAGTAGCATTTGCTCGCATCCATGCAAGGAATTTACTCTCTTGTATGCTTACGGTAAACTTCGTTAGCATCATCCTCTTCTTCAAATGAAATTCATTGTTCTCCAGGTATATGAAAACTCAATTGCTCAATCGCAGGGAATTTGAATTGGATTGGATATCCAAAAATTCTCCATGTTGCTTCGAAAGGTGATGCGTATCTGTAATAGTAGTAAAGCTGAACTTCATTTGGTTGACTATAAAAAATTTTAATTTCTTTAAAAAAGTTGCAAATAGTGTTTAAAGTAACATTGTCGATATTTTTTTAGTGCATAGATAATATTTTTCAAAACACATTAAAGTGATCATATTTTTAAAGGATATTAACTTTTTAAACATTTTAAATTTTTTTCATATTGTTTTAAAATATTTTTATAAATATTTATCTGATTGTTATTTTTATAAAAATAGGTGTACTGTGGGTATCTATTAATTTGCTACACGTTGTAACCAAATATTTATTGGCTCTAGTTACGTGGCTTTAGATAACACATTTCAAGGAAATACATTAAATGTATTAGACAATAATACACTGCCATACATTTACCTTGAGCGTACCAAATCTCTGATTAATTTCTTGAGCTCCAAAAATTATTCGCTTCCCAGAAATTAGTATGAAAATTCGTACTTTAAATCTATTGCGGTAATCAATATTTATTTGCTTTAAGTAATAATCAATTGAAATCAGCATTAATGGAGGCACGTTGATCAGTATAATCTAACCTAGAGTTAAGAGACCCAAGGTATTGCTTCATCAGTTCGTGGCTCTAGATAACACTTTTCAAGGCAATTTATTAAATGTATTAGACATTAATAGACCACCGCACAAATACCTTGAGCCTACCAAAGGTATTAGACATTAATAGAACGTTGTACGGGTAAATTTCACTAATGGTACCTGAACTTTAGCTGAAATTTCGAAGTGGTACCTGAACTTCAAATCCTTTCACAAAAATCCCTAAACTTACACAATCCTTTCACTAATGAGCCATTAGCCCGTTTCTAGGTTAACTTCCGGTCATTAGGGCCAAATTTCTTAAAATATATAAAATTTTAAAAGTTAAACTGGGGTAAAGAAGAAAAGAAAAGAAGGTCCGGGGCGGCGGCGGCGGGCGGCCAGTTTCAGCGGCCTTTTACTTGAAAAAGGCTAAGGCCGCCCTGGTTACAGTAAGAGAAGCAGAACTCTGCTCCTAGTTATTATAGGTTTGGTAAAACAGATTAAAACGGACATTGATCTCGAATCTGAATTTTTCTACTCGAAAAAACCCTAAAATCGAAATTGGGTCCAAAATGAGGGGTTTTGCAAATCGTCATCAAATCTTGCACTTGAGGGGTCCTTGGAGGTCGCCCGGATGCCACGACCGCATTGGAGTTGGTTCCCGCCGTCAATTTCGCCGGAGTTGGCCGGAACACGCTCCGACCCGCCGGCGGTTTCCGGCGGGTCGGAGCGTTTTCCGGCCAACTCCGGCAAAATTGACGGCGGGCACCAACTCCAATGTGGTCGTGGCATCCGGGCGACCTCCAAGGACCCTTCAACTGCAAGATTTGATGACGATTTGCAAAACTCCCAATTTTAGACCCAAAATTTTTGTTATAAGCGGTTGGAGATAGCGGTTGTGAAATCTCGGAGTTGAATCCTATTGGCAAGGGTTGTTTGCCAAACTAGTGTGGTGCTTTGACGAAATTCAAGAGACCGATACTTAGGCCCCATTCCGTTCAACTTATTTTTTCTTATTTTTTCTTATTCTTATTAAAATCAGATCAGATCATATCAGATCAGACCAGATCAGATCAGATCGAATCAGATCAGATCAGATCAGATCGAATCAGATCAGATCAGATCAGATCAGATCCAATCAGATCAGATCAGATCCAATCAGATCATATCAGATCCAATCAGATCAGATCAGATCCAATCAGATCAGATCAGATCTTATTAGATCAGATCAGATCCAATCAGATCAGATCCAATCAGATCAGATCAGATCAGATCAGGACTTATTAAAATAAGA